CTTCAATCTGCAGAGCAAACGAGGAAAAATTTATTCCTTTAGGGTATAATCATTATTAGGCAAGATCAGCCATGAACGCGAGTATAACAGTGATTTGCTAAGGGTGTGGTAAGCAAATTTACAGGTCACTATTTAACCCTGTAACAACAACAACTTGTGCAATTGCCTGCCACTTTTCGCCCACAAAAGATACAATCAATTTACTGTACAGTGCATCCTGTGAAGCGCTTTGAGACGTCTCAAAGACTTGATAAGGTGCTACGTCAAATGCCAGGATTATTATTATTATATTGCGCATTTCACATGGGGTGGTATCAGAGAGCCCTGACCAAAACACATACACAGTTTGAATCACAGGAGTATGGAAAGATGTTATTAATATTACTAGTAATCTTTGTATTAGATATAGCGCCTTGCCACATCATTGGGATGCCTCAAAACGCTTCACAGGATTTACTGTGAAGTGTAGTGACTGTGTATTTTGTAGGCGAACACAGCTGCTGTGAAGTGAATGACCATTTTTATCTGGAGGATTGTTGGCCAGGACACCATGTTAAACTCCTTTCTTTTTTTCAATAGTGCCACAGTATTTTTAACGTCCATCTGAACTGGCAGAAGGAACTTTGGTTTAATGTCTCATCCGAAGAACAGCACCTTTGACAATGCTACACTTCCCCCAGCATTGCACTGTCGTGTCATCCTGCACTGTGAGCTCAAGATCTCAACTTGGAGCTTGAACCCGCATGCTTCAGACTGTGAGGCCGGAGTGCGAGCCAAGCTGACGGACAATTGTATTAAAATGTACGATTGATTGTGCAGAATTTTGAGAAAAAAATCTTGAATGAAGTTTAATCAGGAAGCTGTTTTTTTCACACAGTCCAAATGTTTTCACACAAATTCAACATGTTTGCTTTGCAAAACAAGAGCTTGCAAATTGCCCTGATATGCACTTTCATGGGTATTGACACAGTTGGTCCGAGCAAAACATCTTTACCCAGAGAATGGTGGGAATGTGGAACTTGCTGCCACAAGGTGTAGTTGAGGCAAATAGCATAGATGCATTAAAGGGGAAGCTAGACAGGTACATGAGGGAGAAAGGAATAGAAGGTTATGCTTGAAGGCTTAGTTGAGGAAAGGTAAGAGGAGGCTCATGTGGAGCATAAACACCAGTTGGGTCGAATAGTCTGTTTTTGTGCTGTATATTCTATGTAAAATAGTTCCTGACACTGAAGGTTTCAAATTAAAAATAAGGGAATTTTGAGTGAGGCGTCAAGCCAGAACCAACTGTTGTGTTGGGAAACTATCAAAAACACAAAGTATAAATACTGCAAGGTATGTTTCCAGAGAGAAAAATAATTGGGGGTAGGTAGTTTGGGATATATGTGTATGCGATCACCAGGAAGGTGGAAGGCGAATTAGATGGACCTTAGTCCTTTTTAGTCTGGCATTTCTTATGTTCTTATTTCAAGGCAGGAAGAAGATATCTAAAGGCAACATCATAAGATTGCATGATCAGTTTGGATGAAAAAAGCCCTTCAACCCATCTGGCCTCATCCCTCCAGAACACCCATCCTATCGTGACAGCATCAAGTTGCTTTTTAAATGAGTCTCAGTTTCCTGGCCTCAACCACTCTTCTCTGTATCCTGTTTCAGCTATTAATTACCCTGTGGGTAGAGAAAGACTTCCTGGTGTCTGTGCGGAAATTGCCCTTTGCAGCTCTAGCCCTATGTCCTCTTGTTTTTCAATCTTAATGAATAGCTAAAAGCTCGAAACCTCACATGTGCCAGACTGTTAATTGGTTGTTCCTTTGCACCATAGCACAAATATTAAACTTTAATCTCACAAAGCAGCCCGAAACCGCCTTTTCAATGATACCTTGTACACTTGTTTCCAGAGCTTTGTTCGTAAGCAGTGTTAGCCCTGCAATCTATCAAGCTAATATAGGTGGCAACATTGCACACACAGGGCAAGGTTATCTTGACATATAGTGAGTGCACTATTTGCACGTTGCACTGCTGCTGAAGAATGAGGTGAGATTGATTCCCATTAATCTGACACCTCAAGCGCTGTGAACATAATAGCTTAAAATGTAGCTGTCTATCACATGTAAAAAAAAGGTAGAAAAATCACCAATGCACTTAACAGCCAGCCATGCAATACAGAGCGGCCTTAACTCATTGTGAGCCAGAGTAAAAATTGGACATCAGTCGCTTTTTTTAAGAATGATGTAGTTGCAGCTCCTTAATTGGAAGAAAATTCATGATAACTTTCATGAAAATGTGTGTCAGCCTGGTGAGCTTTCAGCTACCCTACTTCCACTCAACTACCCACCACCTCAGCTCCATCATCGGTGACCACACTTTCAGCCATTACACCCCGAAGCTTTGGAATTCTCTCCCTCAATCCCTCCGCCTTGGCCTCTTCTTCCCCATTTTCGGATCGTGCCTGAAGACCTTCCTTTTCGACCATGCTTATGGTCACTTCCGTGGGGAAGGGGTACGGAAGTGGGGGGAGAGGCGCTAGGGTTTGGCTTAGTGGCGATCAGTAACGTCTGAAATTGACCAAAAAAACATTTGTTTTCCTAGAGATGCTTTTTAATTTGACGTCCTCCACAGGCATTTGCCACTGCAGACACAGACTAACCAGGCTGCGGAGAAAGGAAGTGGAGCACAGAAGGATGCATTGAATGGAAAGCCTTAATTAGGATTTCTAAAGAGAAGGACAAAGCTACAATAGTGTTTTCCAAGTGCTCTTAATTCACTATTCATTTTGTTCCATGCTGCAGCTCATTGAAAAGGTGATAAAACTTGCGCACAATAGTTGAAAAAAATTCAATACTTTCCTTTAACGCCGCTTCAATAGTACTTCTAAAACCCACACTAAAAACATCTAGAGTGGGGTTTCCATGTCAATTTGCTTGGCAGGTATTACAATTGACCTCAGAAAATCGCAGAGATTCGGGACAGCTGTACGGGGCTAGGTGGTGAGAAATACGCAAATTAGAATTTCTGTACACCCCCACCCCATCCCTCCCCCACACTGGGATTTACAAGACAAACTAAAGATTGTTAGGCAAATAAAGCCAGTTTTGGGTGATTGAACTATAACTATATGTTTCGCCCACAAAATATACAGTCAATTCACTTTGCAGTATATTATGTGAAGTGCTTTGAGACATCTCAAAGACGTGATAAGGGAATGACTGTATCAAAAGCGAGGATGATGATGATTAGTAGTAGTAGTATTATAACTGCACAAATTTATTTGAGCATGTCTACAGCATTGAACACATCCAGCCCTATCAGTCAACATTGGGAGAGACGGCACAGCTCACTGACTTCACTCTTCATTAAAGGGATTACTCTGGAGCCAAATGACGGGAAACTGGAAGTCACATCATTGAACTGTTACCTAGTTTCGCCCCATTTACGCTGGATGCCAAAAAGCACACCAGCTCAGAGTGACACTCAACAACAACTACTACTTGCAATTATATAGCACACTTCACCCAGGATAGCATCATGGAGCGCCTGACAGTGTCGGAGTCTGCCCCTGAGCCCGGGGGAGAGGGTGGGGGGAGGGGAACGTAAGCACAAAAAGGAAGGTCTTTAGGCAGGATTTGAAAGTGGGGAGGGATTGAGGAAGCGAGCTCCAGAGCTTCAGAGCGTAGTGGCTGAAAGCACAGGCACTGATGATGGAGCGGAGGGGGCGAGGGAACTCATAGGAACAAATAACAGAAGTTGGCCATTCAGCCCCCTGAGCCTGTTCTTCCACGCTATTAGATCATGACTGATGATACTAAACTAGGAAAAGTAGTAAACAATGAGGAGGATAGTTGCAGACTGCAAATGGACACAGACAGACTGGTAAAATGGGCAGAAACGTGGCAGATGAAGTTTAATGCAAAGTGCTGCATTTTGGGAGGAAGAATGAGGAGAGGCAATATAAGCTGATGGTACAATCTTAAATGGGGAGAAATTAACAGAGAGACCTGGGGTTCATATAAGTAAATCTTTCAAGGTGGCAGGACAGGTTAGATAAAGCTGTTAAACAAGCATACGGGATACTAGGCTTTATAAACAGGGGCATAGAATACAAAGATCAGGAAGTTTATAAAACACTGGTTAGACCTCAGCTAGAGTATTGTGATCAGTTCTGGGCACCACTTTAGGAAGGATGTCAAGGCATTGGAGAGGGTGCATAAGAGATTTACCAGGATGGTACCAGGAATGAGGAATTTCAGTTATCAGGAGAGGCGAGAGAAGCTCGGATTATTCTCCTTGGAGCAGAGAAGGTTAAGAGGAGACTTAATTGAGGTTTTCAAAATGATGAGGGGATTCATTAGGGTGAATGAGGAGAAACTATTTCCACTGGTGGGTGGGTCGGTAACCCGAGGGCACCGATTTAAAATAGTTGTTAAAAGGAACAGAGGGGAGGTGAGGAGAATATTTTTCACACAGCAAGTTGTTCGGTTTTGGAATGCATTGTCTGAAAGGATGGTGGAAGGGCTATGGGAGACAGTGATGGAGTGGGATTGATTTGGGTAGCTCTTTTCAAAGAGGCGGCATAGACACGATGGGCCAAATAGTCTCCTTCGGTGATTTTTTAATGATTCTGTACCTCAACTCCAAATACTGCTCTCACTTCCCACCAGCTCGGAGTGACACTGTTTTGGTGTGTAGGTGTACGGTAATCAGGGAGCAGAAATGGGCAGAGTACGGTGTGATCTAAAAGGTAAGGAAGCTCACAAGCAGATGCCACATTGCAGCACTTATAGGATCTTACAGAGCAATAAAATAATACAATTCAATTTACTTTTATACAGCGCCTTTCACATCGGGAGGATGTCTCAAAGTGCTTTACACTGCTGGCTGGGCACCCAAGCTAGTGCTGGGAGGCAAGGGGGGTGAGGAGGGAAAAGATGACCGAATGCAGTCAAAGAGGTAGATCTTGATAATAATAATCCTTGTATTTGATATATCACATCTTCGAGGCGTCTCAAAGCGCTACACAGAATATACTGTGAAGTGAATTAACTGTGCATTTTTTCATGGGTGAAACGTGCCACCACCTTGACACGGCGACATGTGTGTTGTGGGAGAAACGTTGATAAGTGGCTTCAACGAGGGGAAAGGAGGGAGTGAGTCAGAGGAACTCCAGGACAGAGTTCTAGAGAGTGTTGGAGCCAGAAAGGCAGATAGGGTGGGGGACATGAAACAGTGAGCGATGTAGTTGAGGAGGTCGCAGAGGTAGGGGCTGGGGAGAGAGCAAAGCTGTGCTTGTCTTTTCCAGGCCTGGTACGTGAATCAACAAAGAGGCTTTGAATAGTTTTAAAAGTCTCTGAAATCGACACTGCTTTTGTTTTCGATGAGAAAACCTCCATTCCGCTAGTTTCCACGCTGCTGTTTCTGTGCATCCGGAGTACTCGTTTGCCAGGGAGAGCGTTTTGTTTTCCAAGGCGAGAGCACTTTTGGGAAAAACTCTCCCGAGAAGCTTTAAAATGCAAAGCTTTAATATGACGTCGATCCTTTTTGCTGCGTGGCTGCCCTGGGGCACTTTGTATGCTAGCTGGGAACTGAGGAGGAATCAAAAAAACACATGAATTGCCCGTTCCCATCTGTCAGAAAGGTCTACTGTCCAAACAACTCGCTTTGCTAATCATGATACAACACCTTATCAACAACAACAACTTTATAAAGCGCCCTTCATGTAGGGTAGCGTCCTGGAGCGCTTGATAGTGGCGGAGTCTGACTCCAAGCCAGGGGGAGAGTGAGGGGGTGAGGTGACCGTAAGCACAATCAAAAAGGAAGATTTTTAGGTGAGGTTTGACAGTGGGGTGCGAGGGGGTAAGGTGGAGGGATTGAGGGAGAGGCTTCCAGACTTTCGGGATGTAGTGGCTGATGATGGAACGGAGGGGACAAGGGACGAACAGGAGGTTGGAGCCAGCCAAGCGAAGGCAGCGGGTGGTGGCGTGGGTAGGGTAAGTAGATCGGGAGGTAGGGAGGTAGGGAGGGAGATGCGAGAACGTGAACAGATTTGAAAACAAGTGAGAGGATCTTGAAATCGATCCGTTCAGTAATTGAGAACCAGTGGAGTCTGGCAAGGATTGGTGTGATGGGGGTACAGAGTTTTGTGCGGGTGAGAATCCGGGAGGCGGAGTTTTGAATTAGTTGAATTTATCACATTATCGAGACATCTCAAAGCGCTTCGCAGGATATAGTGCAAAGTGTCGTGACTGTATTTTTGAGGATGAAAGTGGCAGCCATGTCCCACAATGGAGCGGGTGAGCAATTTTACTTGGGGGATTGTTGGCCAAGACACAAGGGGAAACTCCCTTCTCTTTTTGAGTAGTGTCACAGGATGTTTAACGTCCACTTGGACAGCAAGACCATGATTTAACATCTCTTACGAAGGACGGCACATCCAATAATGCCGCTGCTACATTGGAGCATCCATCTAGGCTATATGGGTTCTGAGTCCTGACATGGGGCTCGAACCCACAACCTTCTGACTCAGAGGCGAGAGCACAGCCGACTAAGCCAGGCTGAAACGGATTACATCCAAACAAGAAATGAAGCAACAACAGCACAAAGTGTCTGTAAATGACCCGTGACAATTTTTGCCTTCTGCAGCCTGTGCCGTTCACTCGCAGCAATATCGCAGCTGCAGCCAAATTGAAACGTACGCAAGTTTTATCTAATTGAATTCCGGGAGACATATGGTTCAATACCCCAATTTGCTAGAAATCATTCACCTTATTTGCAAGCGTGGTTACTTGTACGGCTCATCCACTGAGCTATTGCTCCTTGTAGGACGGTTCTATGTACAACAAAGGAAAGACATGATCGGCAAATGAACAGAGACAATAAAAATGTTAATAAGGTCAGCAAAACTGGAGTCGGCAGTTATAATTAGCCATTGCGCAAGATGAATCCCACCTAATGTATTTCAGGCAAGTAAGGTTTCTTCTCTTAAGCATCAATGTGGAACACATTCCCTTTTGCACAATAAGGAAGCAGTGCTTTGATTTATGTTGCTCTGAGCTGGACTGGGTGCTTATTGTTCAAAATATATTGAATGAATAATTCTCCAAACATGGAAAGCCGGGGCAATCAAAATCCGCTGAATACTGTAGCTGTTTTGTTTCCTGATATATAACAGGCATGAAATCACTAAGCCAGCTGCAAGGAGTTGCTTCCGATTGCTTCCTGCATAGCGATAAGACAGCACCAAACGTAACGGGCAAACTGCCTGGAGAGATACTGAATTGGCTTGATACAAATTACACTGTCCTGCTGGAAAGAAAGTGCACATTATTGGAGTCATTAACCATAATCACCCTCAATTATAATGCTGTAAGTAGCATACAGCAAGCCAATAAATGTAGGCATTGTTTACTTATTTCTACTATAATTTATAGAGGTGCAGTCATCTGTTCTGTCGGTCTGAAATTCACTCATCTGCCTGAAAACTATTATAGATTTTAGCATGTTGAAGCGATATACCAAATACGTTTTTCTTAGGCGTTAGGAATGCCTCGCAGTGTCGTAATATAATCTTCGCAAGCAGATGAAGAATTCATCACTTCTAATGTAATTTAGCATTCAGCTTGCATCCACCCTAATATCGCCTCACGGAGCAGGACGTTGATTTAGAAATGTGGACCAGGAATTCAGACGCACGTTTGACATGCACCCTTCATGCCCAGAAATAACAATTTGCCTGACTCAACAGAGGCAGGAGATATCATAGGTTTACGCTATCTCCTCACTAATTGCAGATTATAATCATACTAATTCTTGCATTTGATTTAGCGCCTTATCAAAGTGCTTCACAGAATAGAAGTAAAGTAAATTGCCTGTATATTTTGTGGGCGAAACACGGCAGCTAATTGCTCACAGCAGTGTCCACAAACAGTCATGGATTGAAGTGACCAAATTTTTTTTAAAATTTGAAGGAATTATTACCCATGGAAAAGTGATCTGCAAATCGACTAACTTACTACTAGGTAAACAGAGGGGTGTGAAGTAAGGAAACTTGCCCAACGTTTCACCCTACTGGGAATTGAACTTAAGTCTCTCGTTTGTGAGGCAAGTGCTCTAACCACTGAGCTACAGGATTCCACACAAACCTTGCATTTGGTTTAGCGTCTTTCACGTCGGGAAGACGTCTTAAAGCGCTCTACAGGCTCTACTGTGAAGTGGAGTGACTGTGTGTGTGTAGGCATACACGGCAGCCCAACTGTTCCACCAACAGCCATGAAAGGAATGTTCAATTTTATCTGGAGAATTGTTGTCCAGAACACAGGGAGAAACTCCTTTCTCTTTTCAAATAGGGGCGCGGGATCTTTAATGCCAACCTGAACAGGCAGACATGACCTCATTTTAACATCTCATCCGAAGGACAGCACCTCTGACAATGCAGCAAACCCCAGCAATGCATTATAATCTAGTATATATGAGTTTCAAAGCCATTTATTTTTATTATTGTATTATTATATTATTATTATTGTAGCTCAGTGGTTAGAAGACGTGAAAAACGCTATATCAAATGCAAGGATTATTATTATTATATTATTATAAATGGGGTTTGAACCTACAACCTTCTGACTTAGAGGTGAGAGAGCCACCAACAGAGCCAGGCTGACACTAAGGGATTATTCCCAAGTCACAGCGAAGAGTCAGTGTTTAATTTACCAATGAGTAAAGGTTTGTACAGTGCAAATTTAAGGGTCGAGTATAGTACACACCGAATTGTCAACAAGCAAAGGCCACGAGATCATAAAAACATAGAGACAGGAGTAGGCCATTCAGCCCCTCAAGCCTATTCCGCCATTCTACAAGATCGTGGCTGATCTGTACCTCAAGTCCAATTACCCGCAATTGCCCCATAACATGTAATACACTGACCTAACAAATATCTATCCATCTCAGTCTTGAAGATGTGAATGGATCCAACATCGACAACCTTTTGAGGGAGAGAGTACTAGATTTTCACTGCCCTTTGGATGAAAAACTGCCTCCTGATTTTCAGGTCTATGCAACCTGTCCTCATAATTTAACCCTTTTTCGCCCTGGTGTCATTCTGGTGAATCTACATTGCACCCCCACCAGAGCCAATATATCGTGACGTGAGGTGCCCAAAACTGAACCCAGCACTCTAGATGGGGTCTGACCAAGGCTCTATATAGTTGAAGCATCATTTCCTCTCTTTTATATTCTAGCCCCGTTGAGATAAAGGCCAAAATCTCATTAGGATTTTTTTGATAACTTTTTGTACCTGTGAGCTTGTTTTTGGTGATTTGTGTGCATGGACACCCAAATCCCTTTGCTCTTCCTCAGTTCTTAGTTGCTCACCATTTAGAAAATATCCTGTTTTGCTATTTTTGGATCCGTAGTGGATGGTCTCACACTTCCCCACATTGAATTCCATCTGCCACAGTTTTACCCACTCACTTAATCTATCTAAGTCTTTTTGTAATATCCTGCTCGCATCTACACAATTTACTGTGTCTCCTAACTTTGTGTCACCTGCAAATTTGGATATAAAACTCTCTATTCCTTCATGCAAGCCATTGATATATATATGGTAAAAAGCTGAGGCCCCAGTACAGACCTCTGAGGAACACCACTTGTCACATCCCGCCAATCAAAGAATGTTCCCCCTACCCCTTCTCTCTGTTTCCTGCCTCCCAACCAATTACCAATCCACGTCGCAAGGTTAGCTCCGATTCCATGCGCTTTTATTTTTGCTAATAACCTCTTGTGTGGAACATTATCAAATGCCTCTGGAATTCTATGACAGCCAGAGACACTCTCTTATCCACCATGTTCATGACCTCCTCAAAAAATTCAATTAGATTCGTCAGACATGACCTACCCTTCACAAATCCATGCTGACTCGCTTTGATTAGCTCATACTTGTTCAAGTGCTCAGTTAATCTGTCTCTGATGAGAGATTCCAGTAACTTCCCCACAACTGATGTTGTGCAGTTGCTTGGTTTCTCCCTCCCTCTCTTCTCAAGTAATAGAGTGACATTTGCAATTCTCCAATCAAAGGGCACAATTCCCGTACAGAGAGCTTTGAAAAATTATGATTAACTCATCTGCAATTTCCTCTCCTATTTTTTTAAATACTCTGGGGTGGAATCTGTCAGGTTCTGGAGATTCATTTATCTTTAGTCCCATTCTCTTCTCAACAACAACTATGAATTGCATTTACATAGCGCCTTTCACATCTTCACATCGGGAGGACGTCCCAAGGCGCTGGAATCCAATTTCATCCCCCCAAAACACCCACCCTACTGCCACACCCACGCCCCCCACACCCCACCCCTGCCCTATCATATCATCAAGTCCCAGGGTTCTGGCATCAACCTACTCCACTCGTTAAATACCTTCTGGATAAAGAAATACTTCCTGGGGTCTGTCCTGAGATTGTCCTTTGTCCTCTGAATCTATGTCCTCTTGTTTTACTCTGTTGGTGAATCCAAAAATATTGTTCTGGGTTTAGTCTTTCAATTCCATGTAAAATCTGATAGAGTTTGACGAGATCCCTTCTGAGTTGCCTTCTCTCAAGACTGAAGAGCCCTCCATTTGTCTTAATCATTACTCATCTCTCAATAATTTGCTCACTCAATCCACCAAATATATGGGACACTGGTGTGCCAATTAGCTGCCGCATTTCGCCCACAAAATGTACAGTCAATTCACTTTACAGTATATACTGTGAAGTTATTTGAGACGTCTTGAAGATGTGATAAGGCACTATATCAAATGCAAGGATTATTATTATTAATGTCATTATTATTTGACAGCAGACTGTTATCACCCATCTCAAAGAGCTGAGAGGGGAGAGAAGGTGACAAAAACATTGTCAAAAAACAGGTTATTGAAGGCGGGCTTTAAAGGTGGGGAGGGAGGGGATGAGGCAGAGGCATCTGGATCTCCCTGGATGGAGCTCCAGATAGCAGAGACAGAATGTGGAGTCCTGTAGCTCAGTGGTTAGAGCACTTGCCTTGCAAGCAAGACACCTGGGTTCAATTCTAGGCAGGGCGAAACCTTGGGCAAGTTTCCTTACTCCACACGCCTAATAATAATCCCTCCAAAACAAAACAATGATAAATTGATCATTTTCAATCCACAACTATTTGTGGGACACTGCTGTGCGCAATTGGCTGCCACGTTTCACCCACAAATATACGGTTAATTCACTTTACAGTATATTCTGTGAAGTACTTTGAGACGTCGAGAAGCTGTGAAAAGCGCTATATCAAATGCACGGATTATTATTATTATTAATGGCTGAAAATTCCCCCACTGATTAATATAGAGCTTCTAACACGGCAAAATGTGTATAAAAGCATTCTTGTCCTATTTTGAATGTAGTTTTTCAATAATATATGCTCAATTCATCATGTACAGTCTCTTGCGTACAGATAGAGCAACAGAAAGGCCAAGCAGTAAGCCAATTTGATCAAGTCATCCAGCACTTAGGATAGAAATAAAGGCACTTATAATCATTGCAAAGGTTTTTAATGTGACTGTGTCCAGAAAGGGCAGATGGACATTATTCTTCATTATCAACTGTGTATTTATTGCTGTGGCGATAGAACTGGTCATTCACTCCATGCTGTTCGTTAGATATTGCTGTGCGCACATCGATTGCTGCGTTCACCTACAAAATGCACAGTCACTACATTTTATACCCTTTCAAATCTTATCGACCAGGCTCTTCTCCCTTTGCTCAGCGAGTACTGGCCTGCTCCATGTCTCCTCCAACCCCACCACATCACGTGCAGATTTCAGCCTTTCTGTCGCCCATTTTCAAGAAGTACATCCCGAGTCCCTCCGACTCACTCTTTCCATCACCTCGTTCAACATCCATCTCAAGAACTACCTCTATGACTGCACTTTCAATCGTCTTGCTACCTCCTACCTATCTCCCTTGCCACCCAGCACCAGCTTGGGTGCCAAGAGAGAAACGTTAAGCTCTTTAGAACGTCCACTTGACATAAAATGTGCTGTCTAAGTGTAAATTTGTATTGTATCCTTTGCTGCTCTGAGATACCATTCTGCATTAAGGGTGCTATATAAATGCAAGTTGTTTTATGGAGTGAAGAAACTTGCCTCGGGTTTTGTTCCACCCAGGAATCAAACCCGGGTCCTCTCACCACTACGCAATGGGGCTATACTGTTTCAGAATTGTATAACTGAGTCAAACATTATATTTTTTTATTTATAACTGAGAGTCGGAAATAGAGAAGAATTGATCACAATCATTGATCTTAGAAACTTGCATATGTGGATGATATTGATGATATGGATTTTCTACAAGTCAGTAACATTACTGAAAACATAATAATAATAATAATAATAATAGTAATAATAATCCTTGCATTTGACATAGCGCTTTTCACGTCTTCTCGACGTCTCAAAGCGCTTCACAGAATAGACTGTAAAGTGAATTGAACTGTATATTTGTGGGCGAACGCGGCAGCCAATTGCGCACAGCAGTGTCCCTCAAACAGTCGTGGATTGAAAATGACCAATTTATTATTGTTTTTGGTTTTGGAGGGATTATTATTAGGCGTGTGGAGTAAGGAAACTTGTCCAAGGTTTCGCCCTGCCGGGAATTGAACTCAGGACATTGAACCCAACATCCTCATAGACATAGAGAAGTGAAATCTACAAAACATAATTTCAGATAATTACAACAGATAATTATCATATCAAATCTACTGTGCAACGTAGCTTATGTATAAATTTAAAAAATCCTTGCATCTGATATAGCACTTCAAGAGGGCACGTGAAAGTGCTTCACAGGATTTACAGTAAAGTATAGTGACTGTGTATTTTGTAGACAAACACAATAGCTAATTTGCTTAAAGCAATGGCCCACAAACAGCCATGAAGTGAATGACCAACTTTGTCCTGGGGATAGTTGACCAGGACACCAGGAGAAACTCCTTTCTCTATTCAAATAGTGCCATGGGATTTTTAACATCCACTGATCAGGCAGATGGGACCGCAGTTTAACAATTCACCTGAAAGACAGCAACTCTGACAATGCAGAGCTCTCCCAGCACTGCATTGGAGTGTCACCCTAAACTGTATAAGTTCCAAGTCGTGACGTGAGACTTGAACCCATAACCTTCTGACTCAGTCCCAAGAGTGCTACACGACTGAGCCAGACTGAGCATGTTTCATATATGAATTGCGAAGCCCATGGAGCCAATATTCACCTTAAAATGCATTTACATTTCACAACTTAATCTTGAAACTCCAACAATGTCTCTTTGTCCTGTCATCTGGGCACATTGTTTATTGCTGTTGGCAGACTGTAAATTACTGACATTACCTTCTGCCATGACACACCCAGGTTTAGTTAAATGCTGTGCTGCAGGGGTGTAAATATTGCTTGTTCACTGGCCTGTCTTCAACATTGTCCTACGGATGAGACGTTAAACCAACCTCTTGTTCATGCCTGTTCAGGCAGATGATAAAGATCCCACAGCACTGCCCAAAAAGAGAAGGAAGTTCCTTCTGGCCAGAAAATATCAACAACAACAAATTACATTTGTCTGTCACATCAGGAGGACGTCCCAAGTTGCTGGACAGTCAGGGATTTGGGTCCGAGTTGTGGTTTGGGATCAGTGGAGCGTGGAGGGCAGGAATGTAGGGGTAGGAGGGTAACTGAAGGCGCAGTCGATGAGGAGGGTCTTGAGACATGCCTTGAAGGAGGGAAGGGAGGGAGCTAGGCAAAAGGACTGTGGGATGGGGTTGCAAATCGATCATTCACTTCAGGACTGTCTGTGGGGGATTACTGCGCACAAATTGGCTGCTTTTAAATACACAGCTGCCACACTTAACAGTAAAAATCCTGTGAAGCCTTCTTAAGGCATTTTGATGATGCAATAAGGTGCTTTTTCACATGCAAATGATTATTCTTATTGCGGTTTTATAATTAGCCGCAAAGTAACGTAAAGAGAAAGAAGCCAGGGACGGAAATGTTAATGTCATCTGATCAGCTAATGACTCTACTCTCTTGAATGCACATTAGTAGAGGAAAGGAGTTAGATTTAAAATTATTTTCCATTACAGATAGGTGGTGTAGCAGACATTACATTCCCGCAGTATTTACTTTGTCCTTATTATGATACAATAAAGGACCTTTAGTTTTAAACTCTTAGTGGCCTGAAATCAATTTATTTCACATTATACCATTTATGATAATAAGCCTTGCATTTGTTGTAGAGCCCTTTCACATCATTGAGAAGTCTCAAAGCACTTCACAGGATATATTGTAAAATTGATGTATTGGGTATTTTTGTGGGCGAAACATGGCAACCAGTTGCACACAGCAATGGCTTATAAATAGCCATAAAGTGAGTGACCAATTTTACTTTGGGGGTTTGTTGGCCAGGACACTGGGAGAAATTCCTTTCTCTTTTTGAGTAGTGCCATAGGATCTTTAACATCCAACTGGGCAGGCAGACATCCCTGCTCTATCATTGGCGATCGGGCTTTCAGCCTTTCTGCCCCCACCCCACCCTCTGGAACACCATGCCAGAGGCCCTCTGCATCATCCCCTCGCTTGCTTCCTTCAAGACCCATCTCAAGACCTTCCTTAACGACTATGCCTTCAGTCATCTTCCCTCTTCCAAACCCCTTGCCCTCCACCCCTCTCTGATCCATCTATATATGTCTAATAAAACATCTCTGACAATGCAGTGCCCCTCCCCCAACCCCAGCACTGCATTGGGTCAGCCTAGACTGTATAAGTTCCAAATCCCGAAGTAAGCACTTGAACCCAAGTTCTGACTCAGAGGTGAGAACGCGACTGACTGAGCCAGTCTAACACGCTGATGTGGGTGGACACATTCGATGAGAAAACATTTGCAGACTCATTAACTACTCACCTATGCCCAGGGATGGTTACCTTCTCTTTGCTTGTCTCACTGACAAACCATTATTCCCGTGCCTGTTTTTGCGTAGGTGGCCTTGCAATCTGCGTGTTCGCAAAGAGGTCGCTCGCTGAATTGATCTGACCCTGGCAACACTGCACTTATGAGCAAGTTTCAGAGAAATATTTCTATGCCTGGAGATACAGACAGAACCAGGAAAAGTTTGATACAAGGAACCTCTGCAAACGTTATTTGTTTTTCATAACCAGCCTAGAGATTTGTACCTTGATCTTGCAAAATTAAACCAAACCAAAAATGATCATTTTTACGCAGGTTAAATTGTCATTAAGGAATTTGCATCTGTGCCTGTCCATATAGACTTGTCCATTCCCTCCTCTCAGTGGGCTCTGTGTCCCCCGCACAGCCCACCCCCACCATCGGCGGTCTGGCCTTCAGCCTCTCTGCCCCCACCCTTTGGTTTGCTCCCTCCCTTCCCTCATTCAATCCCCTTCTCTTCGACCGCACCTTCGTTCACAATCCTGCCACTATTCTCCTTTCTCTCCACCCCTCCTGATCCCAACCCACAGCTCGAGTTCCAATCCCTAACTATCCAACACCTTGGGACGTACACCTGATGTGAAAGGCGCTTTATTTGTTATTGTTGTGATAAATTTAAGAACTTTTTTTCAAAGCTGCTGATCTTAATTAAAAGACATTCATTTATTTGGGTGATAAAGAGGTCTCAGCCTGGCTCAGTGGGTAGCACTGTCACCCTTGAGTCGGAAGAATATGGGTTTAAGGCCTATATTGGGATTTGGGGCTCATATATTGTGGGCTGACACTCCAATGTGGTACTGGGGGAGTACTGCATTATCATTGGTGCTGTCCTTCAGATGTGTCATTAAACCGAGATCCCATCTGTGCCTGGACATGATGGATATCATGGTTCTATTTGAAAAAAGAATGGAGATGTGCCCAGTGTCCTGGCCAACAATTCTCCCAAACAAAATTGGTCATTCACTTCAAGGCTGTTTGCGCCACATTGCAATGTGCAAAATTTGCTGCCGCGTTCGCCTACAAGAGACATGGTCACTACACTTTCCAGTAAATCCTGTGAAGCACTTTGAGACATCTCAACATTGTGACAGGCGCTATATCAAATGCAAGCATTATTGTTATTATAATTCCTTAATTGCCTCATAAAATCTACAGGCTTCTAAAAACCCAATCTTTTATTTTTCTGCTATTGTTTCAAATTTGGCATTATTCTGCATAACGAATTTCAGTCCTTCACTTAGATATTCTTCAATAAAAAATATACCCAATTGCACACTTCTATTTATATCAATTCCATCCATTAATTCTGCTTCGTGTCTGCTGCATTTTCCCATAAAACACAAAGCCACTCCATTTTACAGTATAAATAATAAGAATTCTTGCATTTGATGTAGCACCTTCTAATGTCGTCAAGATGTCTTGAAGCGCTTCATAGGATTTTATTGTGACTGTGCCTGTGGGCGAATGTGGCAGGCAATATGTTCACAGCATAAACAGTTTTATTCTGGGGATTGTTGGTCAGGACACCAGGAGAAACCCCCTTCTCTTTTCAAGAAGTGCACTGTAACAGAGCGTCAGCTTACAACAACGACAACAAGATTGCATTTATAGAGCGCCTTTCACGTCGGGAGGACGTCCCAAGGTGCTGGACAGTTGGGTCGGGACCCGAGCAGGGGGCAAATGGTCAGGGTGAGGGGAGGGAAGGGAGGGAGCGAGGAGGGGGTAGAGAGTCAAGAGGGGAGCTGAAGGCACGGTTGAAGAGAAACCTGTGAGCTGTTAGACTGTGAGCTCAATGTAGGGGCTTGAACTCACAACCTTCTGACTCAGAGGCGAGAGTGCGAGCTAGTGAGCCAGGCTGACATCTAAAAGCTCGTGTATCCTGTGAGGTGGTTTGACATTTTTCCTGGTGAAAGGCACTGCATCAAATGTAATTATTATTTTGGCCAACAAAGTGTTGTGAGATGCTCTCACAACGTGAAAGGTGCTGTACCAAATGTAAGAATTATTATAACATTCCCCCCAAATAAGAATTGGTTGTTCACTTCATGGCTGTTTGTGGGACTTTGCTGTGTGCAGGTTGGCTGCCGAATCCACCCACAGAACATACAGTCACTACACTTTACAGTAAATCCTGTGAAGTGCTTTGAGAAAACTTCCCAACATGAAGACGCTGTACCAAATGTAAGGATTATTTTAATTATTATTATTCACTGTAGCTCTGACTTTGAGGCTTTGTGGCCTGATTAACCAACACAAATGAGGTGATAATCACTTGGTGGACGGATCAACCATATATGTATACATCATAAAATATTAATATAGCGCCTTTCACATCGGGAGAACAGCTGGAGGATTTTAAAGTGTAGTGACTGTGTATTCGTAAGCAGCTCATTTGTACTCAGCAACGTCTACAAACAGCAATAAAATAAGTGACCAGTTTTATTTGTGGGGGGATTGTCGGGCAGGACACCAAATGGAATACTGCTGTTGGATCTTCCTTAAACTGGCACAGTTTAAAGTCTCATCCAATGAAGAGTGCCTCCGACAATGCTACATTTGAGTGCCAGTCTGGACCGTGAGTTCAAATCCCAATGTCACCACCTTCTGACTCAGTGATGAGAGTACTACTGACTGCTCTCTGTGCGTGATTATCCATAGCGGGATCTGAGTTTGTCCAGTGCTACGTGCGCTCCGATCCGTGCGGTGAAATGTACAATGTCATTTCAGATTTGATTTGATTTGATTTGAATGTATCTCGCGAGTGATCTGAACTATTCTGTTATCAGTGAGCAGCACAATGTCCTGTCAGCAACTGGGAGGGCTCCAGTGTATCTGAGCTGCTATCGTAAATTGCCACTATAAAATAGGATACAAAATTACACGGATAGAGAGCATTATATACACTTAGGGAATCGGGGGAGGGTGGGGAGGGGAAAGATGAATGACAACCCCCTGGCCAAAGAGGCAGGTCTTGAGTCGGGCGTAGAACGAGGAGAGGAGGAAGGGATTGAGTGTGTTGTGTTGAATGCCTGAGAAGTGACATTTGCAAAGAGTAAAACCAGAGAGTGACAGACTTTGTACCAAACAGTACCCCAGCGGGTAACAGAGCTGTCACTCACTCCACCTCACTGCAGTGGTGAGATTGCAGTATCCCACAAGCAATTTATCAGCCAGCTGTGAGAATCCATTTACTGTGAAGCAATCAATGGCAAAACAATTTACATAGCGGCAATACAGCTTTAAACAGCAATGCGGACTTAACTGGGAATATTGATGGAATTCTGATGTCTGTATGCAGTTTGTCCAGTCACTGAACAATTCCGCCACATTCAATCGCCTGCAAACAAACAGTCACTACACGTTGCGACATATCCTGTGAAGTACTTTGCGAAGCTCTCCATACCAAATGAAAGAATTATTAATTGAACCCACCTCTTCACCTAGAACAACACATGCTTACATTCATATAGAGTCTTTCACCTCAGGAAGAGGTCTCATCGAAGTTTACGGTACTAAAGAAGGTCATTCGGCCCATCCAGCCTGGCTCTCAGAGCAAGCTGTCCTTTCAATCCTACTGCCCTGCCCGACCCTATCCCCATACCCCTTAAAGTCTTCACCTTTCATACCACGTCTACTTCCCTCTTGAAACCACAATGGACTCTGCCTTTACTACCTTACTTGGCAGGGTATTCTAAGTCCCAATAACTCTCTGAGTGTGCAGGCAAAACTCATCATTATCTCCAAGTGCTTCACACGACTGACGGGAAGGTTGGGCCATGTGTTGTAAGAAGTTTGGATTGAAGACGTTTCATGTTTAAAGCACCTACAATGAATCAAAGCACTACTCATCATGTCATCAAGACATCTCAACGCACTTATCAAGTATGATGATAACTAGGTATTTTGTCACCGAACCAGCAGCCAATTTTCTGCACAGCCAAAAAGGATTATAATAATAATAATAATCCTTGAATTTGATATAGCACTTTATCACATCGTACAGACGTCTCAAAGCACTTCACAGAATATACAGTAAAGTGAATTTTATTGTAAGTTGTAGTGATTGTGTCTTTTGTGGACAAATGTAACACATACAATTCACATACACCAATACCTCAAAAACAGTCTTGAAATGAATGACCAATTTTAACCAGGGGAATGTTGGCCAAGACATCAAGAGAAACTCCTCCTTTTGAGCCATGGGATCTTAAACATCCCCCTGAACGTCCATAGACAGAACCTTGGTTCAACATCTCATCTGAAGGATGACACCTCCAACAATGCAACAACAACAATAAAATTACATTTGTATAGAGCCTTTCACGTTGGGAGGACATCCCAAGGTGCTGGATAGTCAGCATTTCCAACCCGACCTAGGGGTCAGGATTGGGGAGGGTGGAGGGCAGTGGAGGAAGCAGGGTGATCGAAAGCATGGTCGAAGAGGAGGGACTTGAGATGGGTCTTGAAAGAGGCAAGGGAGGGGGCGAGGTGGAGGGACTGCGGGATGGGGTTCCAGAGGGTCGGGGCAGAGTGGCAGAAGGCGCACATGTCAATGGTGAGGCAGGTGAGGCGGGGAACACGAAGCAGGCTGGAGCAGAAGGAGTGGGCAGGTTGGTAGGGAGTTAGATGGTTGCAGAGGTAGGGGGGAGCAAGGCCATGGAGTGCTTTGAAGGTGAGGACAATGCAGGTTGTGTGTAGGCATTTAGATATGATACAAACCTCTGACAGAGAATGACCTTCACTCCAGTACCACTCCAGAAACGCAGGACCATTTGTATGGACTTGCAAACCACCACCTTGAGCCCCTGCAACAAATTTTTTTTATGCAAATATATTTATTAACTGTGTCACCGTGCAGTGAGATTGCCTGGCAACACAGACCTGCAAGGAGATAGCAGCTGTGCCGCAGAATACCAAGCTGGCACCTGCCCATCAGCACTGTGCTGCCTTTGCACTTGAACTGAAGTCCTGTAGCGTAGTGGTTAGAGCGCTCGCCTCGCAAGCCAGAGGACCTGGGTTCCGTTCCCAGGCAGGGCGAAACGTTAGGCAAGTTTCCTTACTCCACACGCCTCTGTTTACCTAACAGTCAGCAGGAACCCAGTTGTTAGGCGATTGGGGGTCACTTTTTCACAGCCTACGCACACACACCTACACACACACAAACCCTACATACACACACACCACACACACACCACATACAAACACACACACACCCTTAAACACCGATACATGCGCACACCCTGTACACACACTTAAAACACACATACACACACAGCCTTAAACACACACACACACACATACCCTACACACATACTGGGGGTTAGTCGGCCAGACATCAAGAGGAAGGTTCTGGAAGGATGAGATCCGATGCAACGATTGGCCTTCTTCATCCAAACCAATCCTGTAATCTTGTGAAAGCCTTACCCTTTAAGTCATGAAATGTGTTTCATCCCAAATTGGAACTGAACAATCTTTGATCCCTGTGCTGTGCTGTTCTGTATTAACAAATCCCAGCCAGCCGGTGATCAGGACGTTATTAATTAACCTGAGCAAGCTTCAGCCAGGGAAGGTCAGGCTGCATTCCTGCTGCTGGATGGCAGCCCGTCGGCCTGCTCTGTTTGTAGATCTGTCAGCCTGTGTATGTGTGTGTGTGTGTGGAGATTAATAATAATAATAATAATAATAATAATAATCCATGCATTTGATATCACACCTTATCACGTTATTGAGACGTCTCAAAGTGCTTCACAACTGGAGTCCTGTAGCTCAGTGATTAGAGCACTCGCCTCACATGCAAAAGACCTGGGTTCAATTCCCAGCAGTGTGAAATGTTGGGCAAGTTTCCTTACTTCACACACCTCTGTTTACCTAGCCGTAAGCAGGAATCTGGTTGTTAGTCGATTGGCAGATTGCTTTTCCGGGAATAATAATCTCTTGGCCATTTGGCCAAAATTGGCCACTTCAATCCACGACTGTTTGTGGGACGCTGCTGTGCGCAATTGGCTGCTGCGTTTCGCCCACAAAATATACAGTCAATTCACTTTACAGTATATTCTGTGAAGCGCTTTGAGAAACCCGGCAGCCAATTGTGCACAGCAGTATCCCACAAACAATCGTGCATTGATTAACCAAATTCTTATTATATATATATATTTTGTATGTTGTATGATGAATGTGCACAGGGTGAATATATGTATGTGCATTTGGTGGTGTGTGTGTAGGGCGATGTGTGTGTGTTTAGGGTGAGTGTGTTCTCAGTTTATAACTATGCTTCTGTTAAGTCAATTATATCCATCTTATTGTTGCACATTCTACCTTCAAGCTTCAGTGCCTCATTGCTCAAGCTCCTTACATTGCTGTAACAACACTTCAGCTTATCAATATTAGAACGATCCATGCAACAAGGTAGCAGCTTATTGATTTTTTACCTCCTGATTTCTTAACAGCTCACCTCCTTCCCCCATTGTTCAATTTCTTCTCTATCAGTCTCTATTTGTGTCTCTCATTGACCCCTTCGCTGTTTGCTTTAAATATGATCATAACAAACAAGGTTTGCTCAATTAGCAGCCTCGATCATTAACAGCACAGCATAAGGCAAGGCGATTTACATTTATGCTACACAGTGCCTTTCACGTTGGAGACTTCTCAAAGAACTTCACAGCCTTTACAGCAAAGTGTAACATGAACCGTGTGTATTGTAAGTGACCGCAGCAGCCAATTTTGCACACAGCAACGTCCCACGAACAGCTACGTGGTGAAGAGCCATTTTACTAGGGGGGGATTGTTGGCCAGGACACCAGAAGAAACTCCCTTCTCTTTCACACGTAGGGCCCTGAGATCTTTAGCGTTTCCCTGAACAGGCAGACGAGGACCTCGGTTTAACGTCTCGTGCAAAGCACGTAGCGTTTCCACCAGCTGTGAGCGGATACATGTCTCTCACACAAGTTACCATTACAGTATCTGCAAAAACGGCAAGTCTTTTCCGCGTGTGAGTCTCCGAGACAGCGTCACCCACCCAGCGACCGTTAGAAACCGAGCCCCTCATTATCAGGCCATGCTGTTAGCTGTTTCCCTGGGTCAAGGTGCTGAAAGTAGGTCAAAACTATAAGCTGAATAGCACAAAGATGCTTTTGTGCTCTTCCCAGGCACAACACAACACAACACCACACAACACAACACAACACTGCGCAACGTGGCCAAACAAACAGTAGTTGAATCCAGTACAGTATCGAGTTGGGGGGGTTTGGTTGGAGGAAGCTGTTATTAGAGCCTAACTTGGAACGAAAAGACTTGGCAACATGTTAGTCGTTTGGTTCCACCCCTTCCTCATGTTGTGTTGCCGAGACAGGATTGTACAACGTCTCTCTCTCTCAAAAATAACCCTCCCTTCCCCCCAACCCGCCCGCCCCAAACAATCAGCTGCGTCTAAAACAAAGCATCAAGACACAATACAGTGAGGGAACTGGAGAGTAAAGGTCAAAACGGCTCAGGGCAGCAGATCCCTGTAAACTCCATGCTGAGCTAAGATCTATAATTATTATAATAATAACCCTTGCACTTGATATAGCGCCTTGTCACGACTTCGAGACGTCTCAAAGCACTTCACAGAGTATACCGTAAAGTGAATTGACTGCTAATTTTGTGGTCCAAACGTGACAGCCAATTACGCACTGCAGGGTCCCACAAACGGTCGATAATTGAGTGACCAAATTATTATTATTTTAAAAAAATTTGAAGGGGTTATTACCCCCGGAAAGGTGATATGACTAACAATTGGGTTCCATTTTGCTGCTAAATGAACAGCGGCGTGTGGAGTAAGGAAACTTGCGAGCATATGGCCCTGCCCGGGATCCAAACCTGAGTCCTCTCGCTTGCGAGGCGAGCACTCTAACCACTACGCTCCTCAGTGCACGTCAGTGAGATTGTAGTCAAATACGCCACAAAGTCACTTGTTGTTGGTTGACAGATGGAAAGGGGCAGGGAAGGGAAGGGGGGGTGGTGGGGGGGTGGAAATAAGTCCCTTGATCTGAAACCAAACGTTGTTTTCTTTGACACAGTGGAACCGCGGTTGATTTATAGACCTCATTACACAGGGAGAGCAAGCCTGAGGAGTGAGTTACACTGATGTTCCTGGAGTTCACATGAAAATGACATTGAAGCGAGAGATGGCAGGGATGAGATCTGGCTAAATGAATGCTTTTATGCATTGAGGTTGATGCATCGGTTCAGTTCAGACAAATTCCCAGTCCCTTTGAGAAACCAGAAGCTGTCGCTCTGTTTCTTTTTGTGTGTGTCAGACTAAATTCAAAATGATCCAAAACTGAGGCTGAGTAGAGCATTTTAATGAGACTGTCTGAGTTTAAGAGATTAATATTAATAATAATAATGACAGATTTTTTAAACAAAATATATATTTTTTTGAAGATCGAATATATATTTACAATTATCTCCAAAAAATATTCCTGTCAGAGAAAGGAAAACGCAACTCATTATTAGCCCGTTACAGGATGCAACACACTAGCCCCCTCCCTGTCACCCCCTCCCCTCTACATGGGGGTGCAGATAGGTTCATAACACACAGCCTGTGACACGTGGTTTCTCTGCGGAGGTAGCTTCTAAGTGGTTTTCAGTGTCGGGTCAATCAGACCAATAACACTGCCATGTTAGACTTGAATAGATGTTACTTTTCTTAGTAATAATAACAATCATAATAATAATAGTATATTTGAACTTCCCCAAATAACTACTTTCTGTTGGAGGCAGTCAATTTCTGTACATTTTAACTGATAAGTAATTAATAATAATAATAACAACAATAGTTACCTATAATCATTGGTGCAACTGAGACTGTTAATAAGCCAATACAGAAATGACTTGACAAGACATCCAGTGCATAAAATGGCTGGGCACCTGAACTGCTTGTTTGAGTCAAGAGGGATGGGGTGGGGAACGGTATACAAAAGCGCAGTCAAAGAGGTAGACATCTTAAGATGGGCTTAGTGGAAGGTGCTTTGTCAAATTTAACATGGTCAAGTGTTTGACTATCATGAGTGGCATGTTATTTGTGAGAGGCAGTAGGTGAGTGAGCGATTCAGTGGGTGACTGAGCGATTCAGTGGGTGAGTGAACGAATGATTGAGTGAGTGAGTCGGTGAGTGAACAAGTGAGTGGGTGAATGAGCGAGCAAGCGAGCGAGTGGGCGGGCGAGTGAGTCAGTGAGTGGGTGGGTGAGTGAGTGGGTGAGTGAGTGGGTGAGTGAGTGGGTGAGTATGTGAGTGAGCGCGTGATTGGGTGGGTGAGTGAAGGAGCGAGCTAGCCAGCGAGTGAGTGAGCGAGCCAGCGAGTGAGTGAGCGAGTCAGCGAGTGAGTGAGTGAGTGAGTGAGTGAACGAGCGAGCGAGCGAGCGCGCAAGTGAGTAAGTGAGTGAGCGAGCGGACGAGCAAGCGATTGAGTGGGTGGGTGAGTGAGTGAGTGAATGAGTGAGTGAGTGAGCGAGTGAACGTGTGAACGAGCGAGGGGGTTAGCAAGTGAGTCGGAGGGAGCACTGGGAACAGATACAGAAGAAAGGATTTGTAAAAGAACGTTCTTCTGTGCATGGTTTGACCTTGCTCAGTGTAATAATCACTGTTAAAATTACGTGCTAATTAATCCCAAATTGGTCACTTTCCATGTGGGCCAGGGACATGCCTCTGTGGGGGAGGCAAAAAATGTTCCAATTTACTATTTAAAGCAACAGAGGATTTGTTTTGTTGCAGATGGGTCGAAGAATTGAGTATAAACTTTAATGCTTAGGTTGCCAGTAGCTGCAGCAATTCTTTGCTCCCAGGCTGGTTTGAGATTTCAACCAGACAATAATATATAATAATCCTTGAATTTGACATAGAGTCTTATGTCTTCGAGACGTCTCAAAGCGCTTCAGTAAATTGACTGCATATTTGTGGGCCAAGCGCGGTAGCCAATTGTGCACAGTAGTGTTTCACAAACAGTCGTGGATGGAGTGACCAAATAATTATTTTATTATATTATTATTATTTTTTGAAGGGTTTATTACCCCCAGAAAAGTGATCTGCCAATTGATGTTAAAGGTCCCATGGCACTAATTGAAATGAAAAGGGAATTTCTCCCAACGTCCTGGCCAACAAACCCCCAGATAGACTTACTTGAAATCGTAAAGTGTAGTGACTGCATTTTGCAGATGAACGAGGCTGCACCCAATTTGCTCACAGCAATGTTTCATAAACAACCATTAAGAGAATGAACAATTTTATCTGTGGGGTTGTTGGCCAGGAAAGTGGGAAGAAACTCCCTTCACAAATAGCGGCCACGGGATGTTTAACATCAATCAGAACACGCAGATGGGACCTTGGCTTAACTTCTAAACTGAAGGATGCCACCTCCGCAAATGCAGTGCTCCCCCAGCACTGCACTGGAAATGCTTCACCTTGCCTGAGTCAGGATTTTTCACAACGACTGCACCCCTCAGTCGA